GCCGTGGCAGGGGTGGCACTGGGCACGCTGGGAGGTCCCTCCCAGCACAGCCCGTTCTGTGGCTCTGTGTGCACATGGGTGTTGTATGTGTATCCATGCTGTGTCACCATGTACACAGGGAGATAGAGGTGTTTGCTGAAGAGGGCTTCTGTGTATGTTCATAGATCAGGACATGTGCACATGGCTACAATATGTTCTTGTACATTTAAAGATCTGTAAAGGCATTTGTACATGTTTGCATCTATAGATTTATATTTTATACACATTACAAAATGTGTGTGTGTGCCTGTATACTGTAATGTATTATGTTTCTATAGCCACATCCATACATGGAGAGCCATGTACTTAGATATGACTGTGTATAGGTGTATAGTCCATATAAAGATACTTTTAAGAGTGGCATAAATGTGTGTGTACATATATATATATATATATATATAATGTCTATCCCATACATATGGGGATAGACAGATGTGTGAGAGAAACTGTATATTTATATTTCTTAGGTAATATAAATCAAGGGGGTCTGAATGGCTGTATGCATGTATTATTAATATGAATCATATGTATGACATATAACACAGATCTCTGTGTATCATGTATATATATTATAAATTATATCTCTACATATAAATTCCCCACATAGACATAGAGGGGGGAAAAGTGTGTGCCTTTAGATTTTATTTTAAAACAATTATATGTATTTTAGAAATGTGTATAAGACTGTCTGCATATACATCTCCTTTTAATCTATTTCATGCATGTTATTATGTGTATATCTTACATATAAAATATATACTTGTTTTTCTATAATTATATAGGTACATGGAATTTTATATATAGGCTTATCCTGTATCTGTGTGTGTATAGATGAGGCTATTTATATGTATATATGCAGACAAAGACAAGTAAAGATCTGTGTATTACATTAGTATTTTGTATATGTATAAATATATGTAAAGATACATATACAGGGAGAGATATATATGTGCGTAGGTATGTGAGAGCCTTTTAAAATACATATATGATTAATATATTACAAAGGACCTGAGTATATATATAGACATATGTATTATATAAAGAATATGTGTACATATGTAGATATATTATGAAGGGGAGACATAGACATATGCATAGAGACATTCCCTCTACAAATATGAATGTCTATACATAAAGATATGTATTTGGGTATATAAAAATCTGTGTGTGTATATATATATGTGTGTGTGTGTGAGCAAGAAATGTCTATGAATCCATAGACACATGAATTATACAGACAGCAATTTTAAAAATGTACACTGATGCATATAGATGTATAAAGTATTGGTTTTATTCATGTCTATCCTCTACATACATCCCCAAGCTCTACAGGACTATATATATAAAGATGTATGAATCTGTACGTAGGTGTGGGGTGTGTAAAAAGGGAAAGGTGTGAGGGACCGTGTGTGCATATACATGTATATATAAAATATGTGTGTGTTCACATATAGCAAGGATATATTTCGTACGTGTATCCCTGTATATATACATTCCACCTGTATCTACAAAGATACTCGTGTGTGTGTGTCTAAGCATTAGAGATATATACATTATATCCTATATATGGGGCAGATATACACACATATTCCCCCATCTATATAGATAAGTGTATATATAAAATTGGGGGAGATATCCTGTACATACCTATGTATTTTATTTTCTGTGTGTGTATGAAGACAGAGATATATACACCAGTATATGATACTGTTTTTAGATGTATATCCTCGTAACATACATTGAGAGACATTAAAGGGGGAGGTAATATGAGTAATTTTTAATGTATATGTATTATTCGTGAAATGTATAATGCACTATATATGTATATCCTTTTATCTGCAGTCTCTATGTATGTACACACAAGTTTATAAATGTGTGTATATATATATGTATGTATGTATGTATACTTGCATATGTAGGGATGTGTATTCTATTTAAGGAGAGCAAAGGTACTGTTGTGTGTTCCATGTATCAAAAGTCCATGTCTATATGCTGTATTTTACAGGGGGCTCTTCATATACACATAGCCTATATGTCTACAAAATGACTGTGTGCAAGAGACTGTGTGTATATATATGTGTGTGTGTATATATATATTTTATATATATATATATATATATAGTGAGCAGGTTTATACACAGATCCCTTGATATTAACACCTATTATACAAATAGCAATAAAGATATAGCTAAGTTCTCAATTTAATATATATTTGTATATAAATACATGCATCTTATAAATAAATATACACACATAGTGAGGTGGAATCTTTTTTTATTTAGTAATAAATAATTACATATATTTAAGGGGTGGGTTATGTATTAAGAGTGTATATGTGTGTGTATATACGTGTGCGTATGTGTAAAATATTATATATGGAGCTCATGTATGCACATATTGCCCATATCTATATGGAGGCATCTGATGGAAAGGGGGAGCTTGCATTTCTGTAGCAGTGTATCCTATAGAACATGTATGTGCATGTATATCCAGGTGTACAGCACTGTTTGTGGGTTTCTCTCTGTGCCCCTGAACACCTGTGTCAGTCTCTAACAAGGTGTGTGTGTGTGTGTGTGTGTGGGTGTGTGGGTGTGTGTATGTGTGTGTGTGTGCATCTCACGTGTGTGTCTCCGGGTGTGCAAGTGTAGCACGGTGTATATCCTGATACATACATTGTGTAGGTACACACAAGTCTGTGCGTTTCTACAGAAAGGTCAGGCTGTGCAGGTACAATTGACAGCTGTATGGAATTAAAGAGGGGACTACACAGTGCAGCTATAAAATGGCTGCATATTTTTAGGTATAATATATTATTATGGGGGGGACATACAGTACAATGTGTGTGCGTGTATATGTAATCTACTATACTGACACACACACACACACACACACACACTCCTCATAGCTATATGGAGAAATCTATGCAGGTATAGATTATATGGATTTAAACTGGGGCAGGTCCATATATGTAGGTGCATGCTGAATTACATATGGATGTATATCCTTGTGTCTGCATTCCCATAATAAACTTTTCTGTCTGTAAAAAGGTGTTTGTATATAATTTAAAACATGTATAAAAGTTGGGGGTGTCATGTATAGCTATCATGCTATACATGTATTATATGTGTATCTTATTTGATACACCTTAGATGTATATCCCTGTGTATACATTCCAGATTTATATATACACACCATAAGGCATAAATAGTAATACACAAAGGTAAGCATACATGTATTTAATTGTATACATTCTATTTAAAGAGTAACAATTACATTTTCAAAAGGGAGGAACAACAACTATCCTACAGGCAGTGCATATAGTTTCTATATATCTGTGCATATATATACACACACAGGTATGTAGAAAATGTACATATGCATTTATAAGTCTATTGTGTTACATATGGGGCTGTGCCTATATACATGCACAGATACAGCTCTTCCCCATATCACTATACTTACATCTATATAAAGATTAGGTATGTATAAAATTAGGTGGGTGAGACTGCAGCTACACCTATGTATTACCTATGTGTGTGTCTGCACATGTGTAGAGAGAGGTATGTGGTATTATATATTGATAAAAGTAGCTATAGATCCCCATAATATATTTGGAATGCTGTAAAAAGGTACACGTAAATGTGTGTGTGTGTGTATATATATATTTACATAGCTAGATATATACCTAAAAATACTAATGGGGGAGGGGGTATAGGTAAAATGTATTCTGTATATCCCTATATGTTCCCCAGCCATATATACACAGTGCAAAATCTATTTATTTATATTTAAAGGGAAGTGTACTTGTGTGTGAAAGCACAGGTGTGGTCTATCTATAGATAATAATTCTATGTATTTAAAGGGAAGGCATGTATTATTAGTCGATATATGATCTGTATGTGTACTGTATCATATATGAATCTCCATACAGTCTAAAGGCATGTATATAAATAAAAACATATAAAAATAAAATATGTCCATGAAGTACTGGAATGGTCTGCCCAGGAAGGTGTGGAGTCACCATCCCTGGCTGTGTTCAAACAAAGCCTGGATGTGGCACTCCCTGCCACGGTTTAGCTGAGGTGTTAACAGTGGGTTGGACTTGATGATCTTGAAGGTCTCTTCCACCCAGTGATTCTTGATTCTGTGATAAATAGCTATGTAAATACAGGGCTAGGGCCATGTATAGTATCATCTCTTACATATATAGCTAGGCAATAAACACAATTACAGAGAAGTATGTACACAGTTCTGTAGAAAGGTAGAGGGGTTGTATACATTCTATTTAATGATAGATAACTGTGTCTTTCAAGGGGGCACTATATATTGTGTGTGCATAACAGAAGGTCTGTGTACAATGTATTCTATATGGGGCTCATACAGACATAATTCCTCATCTCTGGATATAAAGATCATGCATATATAAAATGGGGTGGGGAGGAGGTGAGAACTGCATCTCTACACCTGTGTATTGTATGTAATAAATGCATGTATGCTCATGTCTGTCTATGCAGGTATGTGGCACTAGGTAGGGCTGTGCATCCCTGCCTATACAGCCCCAGTGTATATGCAGGAGGTACATAAAAGGCACGTGTGCATAATTTAAACAGTATCTCAAGAGAATGGGGGCTGGTAATGTGTAGGTATAAATGCATGTCTATCTGTATATGTTGATCCCTGTGTGTACACATGTACACACCCACATACAGAAAAACAAGTATAATAGTATAATTTGGGGGGGCGTTGCATGCTGTTATATCAGTAGGTAATTCCAGGTATTTAAGGGATGGACTATAGGTACCTATCATCCATCCATGTACACATGCAGGCAAAATAGATGCAGTTCCTTATGAACACATACTCACTATATGACTAAAGCTCTAGGTGTTGGTGTGTATACACACACAAATATAGGCATATAGTGTATGTTATGCTGTGTATTCCTATAAACAAACATAGAGCACCAGGGATAGAGAAAAGGACTGTGTTACTGAATATATGTAGATAATATACATACAGCTATGGATTAAAGGGGTCTGTGTGTCTCAGGTAGCTTTGTGTCCATCACTGTAGGTACAAAGCATCGCACATGAACTGGCTCTAGCTCTCTGTACCCCTCTCAGCCCCTCCCCACACAGGCTCAGTCACCTCTGTGCTCTGTCCCTGCAGACAGCGGAGTCCCCGAGGCCGCCATCGGCGTGACCACGGCCGCCATCGACGTGCACCGGCCCAACATCTCCTCGGAGCTGTTCACGGTGGACGCGCCGCTGCGCCTGGGCAGCACCGGCACCTCGGCCAGCCTCACGTCGGGCAGCGCCTCGCGCTCCACCGTCAGCTCGGGCACGCGCGGCTGCAGCGAGAGCAGCCAGACCCTGGGCTCGTCCCCGGACTGCAGCACGGCCTGCGAGGAGCCCCGGCAGCGCGCGGCCCAGGCCGCGGTGCAGGAGCTGCTCTCGTCGCTGTCCCAGGAGGCCTGCCTGGCGCAGAAGGGGCTGGATCCCGTCAACCTGAAGCTGCCCAGCCCGGCCGGCTCCGTGGGGGCCAGCCCCGACCTCGGCCACCGGCTCAGCGTCTACAACCGCAGGAACCAGGACAGTCTTGATGTCTTCCAGCTCAAGCCACTCCTCGACTGCCCCCAGGGTGCCCCAGTGATTGAGGAGAAGTATGGGGTGCTGGGGCCCCCAGAGCCACGGCTGGGCAGGGTTCCTGAGGCATAGGGCCCGTCCGGGGGAACGGGGACTCCTGTGAGGACACGCTCACCACGCTGGCCCACGAAGCTGCCGCAGGTGAGGTGGCAGTGCTGAAGACATCCCGTTGCATCTCCTGCAATGGCCACCAGCCTAGGGCATGGCCAGCGTCGCCTCTGCTCCCCAGTGTCTGTGGCACATGACCTACCTGCCCTGCCACCAGCTCTGGGCCAGCTGGGACCTACAGTGGCCATCTGGGAACAATGGACCTTCCAGCAGTCTTAGGGCAATATGGACCCACAGGGCCTGGAGGGACAAACAGACTGTGCCGGGAACACCACGGAACTTCCACCAGTCTAGGGCCAGCACGAGCCCCATAGTGCTGGGGGCAGGACAGAGCTGCTGGACAGCTTGGGCCCAGCCTGGCTCCCCAGCCTGACACTGCCCAGGGGCTGAGTGTGACTGGGAGGGGTGTGGAGATGGGAATAAACGCTGACAAACATGTACAGCCTCCTGCCTTGTATCCCTCTTGCCTTCTTCTCTTACCTGCTTTCCCTCTCTCGCTTTCTTCCACCCCACCACTCCATGTGCCATGCAACTGACCACCAAAAAAAACCCCAAAACAAAAAGCAACCATGCCAACACCGCAGTGACCGACCCCACCTCTTTCCAGTAAAATCCTTTATTTGCTCTTACTCCACAGTGCCAGGTCCCGTCACCAGCACTCACTTCTTCTTCAGGAGCTTCGTCATCTCTGGCACCGCCTGCAAACAGCAGTGCCAGGGTAGTGCACGTTCCCCTCTGACCCCCACAGACTCACCCTGTGCAGTTCCAGCCCTGCAATTACACTGCCCACCCACCCAGCACAGCACTCCAGGGGCTGTGGGTCACCCCAGCTCAAGCACTCCCCACTTCTCTCCTGCTGAATAAAGCTTCTTAATTATTTAAGAGAGCTACATTTCCATTAGGTGGAAATAATGCATTCGTACAAAATTTATTAAGGAAATTGTCTACGTGGTGTTTCTTCAGAATGTGACTTTGGCTCACAAAGAAGCCCGTGCTCACCATGGAGCCGACGGGCATTATTTCAGGAATGGCATTAAATGCTGGCAGAGTTTCTGCCCATGCCTGCACAGAGCCACCACACTCCCACCACTCACACGGGTGGCCACACACAGGCAGTGACACACAGACACTGGGACAGGGCTGGCTCAGAGCTCCAGAGGAACTGCAAGCTCCTCCTGGGCATCAGTCAGTGAAGCAGCAAGCCCAGGCAGAAATAATCACGCCTCCTGCCAACTCTCTACTTCCAAACTTTATGAAGCTTAAAAATACATGCGAGCACCTATGTGTGGTTATTTCCAAAATGGTTCCATCTCGGCAAACAGAAGTGAGGCAGGCTGGCTGTGACACTCCCTCAACACAACCTACTTGCAGGGATTTGATTTTAAGCATGCAAATCATTACATCAGAAAGCACATTTTTAAACAATAACCCAAACACCCTCACACAGACATCATTAACACTCATTAAGTTATATTAGGTAAGCTCCTATCAGTTCTCCCAAAGTTACCCTACACATCAAGTTTAGCCTCACCTGAAATAAGTCTGCTACCAGTCCATAGTCTGCCACTTGGAAAATTGGAGCTTCTGGGTCCTTGTTAATAGCAACAATGGTCTGCAAGCAAAGTTAAAGCACCATATGAATCTAGATACTCATCATCCTCTGGGGCTGGATTACAGGGCCAGGTCTTAGCCAGGAAATGGGCTATATTATCTCCAAGCCCCCAGAAGCAGAAGATTTATCTGGGCATTTTATATTTTTCCATCTCAAAAACAAGCACCTCCTTCCCTCCACAATCCCCCTAAAAAAAAAAAAAACCAAACCCTCCCTTCCCTGCTTGTCATACACATTTCTTCTATCCTTCCCTGTTGAAAAGCTTAGAAAAAATTACTACAAAGGATTATCTGCACATTCCAAGCTGTACCATTGCAGAACTAACCTGGAGGCAGCAGTTAAAACCACAGTAAAGCCCTGCCCAAAGGCCTCGGTACTTACAATGGGACAGCATTTAGTTTGTCACACAGTAGAAAACAGCACAACAAATCCCAACAATGATCCAGAAAACGTCTTGGTTTAAACCCTGTCCTACATTGAATCATCCTTAACTGCCTGTGACAGCTTCCAGCAAGATAAGCATGGGTGCGTGTCCTCATCAAAATCTGCAACAGGATGGGGAGCACTCCATAGAGGAAGGGGAAAGAATCCTGAAGCAAACCCAGCAGCTCACAGCAGGAGCCTTACACCAAGAAGGGAATGGAGCACAGCACTGGGGCAGTGCCTGCCCCTCCACACTGCCAGTGGGAGCCATGGGTCAGGGCAGCTGAGGCACTGCCACAGCCAAGGAACCACACTCCATGTGTCTGTTTTACTCCCTACACTGAAAGTCCAACAAAATTAATGGCTCGGTAAGCAGGGGCCTAGTGGCAGTAATTCAAAGAGAAATGCTCATAAATCCTGTGGTTTTAGCAGAAATGTTATTTCTTGGCCATTTGTCCCCTGGGAGACCCTGTAAAGGAGCCCACCACACATGCAAGCAGGCAGTACCCAGAGCACTGCCCCTGCCCTCTGGCCAGCTCATAGCCAAGGACATGCAAGTGCTGCAGCAATGCTGCCCTTGAAATGCTCTCCCCAGAGCTTTACTCTTTTAGAGTTTTATTTCAGTTACCCCTCTTTGCAAATGCAAACCTCCCCAGACAAGCTGCAGTGCAGGAAGCAAATCCAGGCTGTGATCCCTGAGGGTACTGGCCCAGTAAAAACTTTCTCTGACCCTTCTGAGGCCCTGCCATTCCTTGCAGAACCATCCACAGGGGCTGATGCCGAGACCCAGCCAAGGCCAGCAGTCAGTGACACCACAGGGGCTGCCAGCTCTGTCCTTAGCACAAAAATAATTTTAAAATTGCTTGCAAAACTGTCTGAAGCTTTGGTTTGGCAGCCTAGTCCTGCCTCTGCCTCCTTTAGCTGAAGTAATTTAAGTAAGATTTGACTCCCCTACCTCATTGCTACCTCAGGTGAGCAGCAAAAGCACCACCATGCTCATAACAGAACTTTGTAGTTAAATCTTTGAGTAAGAAAAGACGGGAATTCTCATGAGAGAATTAGAAATAAGGAAAGAAAGCAACAACTCTTTCAGGTCTCCTCAAAAGCTGCATTTTCTACCTTGCTGTAAAAGAACAAATGAATTATGCATTTCACTTGGTAGAAAGCATCTGACTGTTTTGGAAAACATATCTTGAAGTGTGCAAGTTCACAGTGCCAGATAATTCAGAGTGCTGAGGGAGGACAGGGGACGCTCCAGAGAGCTCCCATAGCTGCAGAATTCTTTGGGAAAACTGGATCTTCTCCATAACTACCCCACCTAAATGTTTTAACTAAAAGAAAGGCAGAGCACATTCTAAATACCAATAACTAAATCTGAATTTTACAACAGACACGTTAGCTTACACTAAAAAAACTGAGATACGTGAGAATTGGAAGGGTTAAATAAGAATCTCTTATCAACAAATTTCATCTGTCCTTATTTCTTATAGCAGAATACCTCAAAATATCAAACATGCCTTTGGAGAAGACATAAAAGCAGAGGTTTTGCTGTTAGAGTACAGGATAATATCACTGCTCAGTGTTTTTGTAACAAAGGAAATTCTGGATCGTCAAGTCAGAGTGCTGCTGGCAGTCTTAACTGAGATAAGGTAGCAGAGGAACACAACGAGGGTCACATCAAGTCTTATGCAGCTTCCAGCTCAGTCAGGGGCTGCTGCCCAACTCCTCACTCAGCCAAGGGCACAGCAGGAGCCTGAACTGCCCCAGACAAAGCCCAGCAGTGCCAGAGGAGCCCAGGTGGCCAGCAGCAGTGCCTGGGCTCTCCTCTGCTGCACTGCAAGCAGCAATGTGGCAGAAGCTGTGGCAATGCTGTTCACCAAAGCACTTGGGAATACACTGCCACAGTTCCCACTTCTCAAGAGACACCTTCACTCTTGCCCATCACACAACCTTAATAGCTTCAGTTTTGGTTGTTTTTTCTCCACTGCAGTAACAAACGCTAATGGCACTCAAGCCCCTGCTTTTAGAAAGCCTATCATTTCCCCCCAAAATGTTTATATAATACATCAGAAAAAAAAAACTGGTAAGAAAGCAGAGATCATCCTACCACATCGGCTGGTTTGTGAGGACAATTACCAGTCACAAACTCACTGGTTAAACACAAGAAAATACCTGCAAAGTTTTGCAACCCTTTTCCTCAGCTCTGTAAACTATTCAAAGCTGTGGCTTAAGTTCATTCCTTGAAAATAGAAAGTTCATTCCTTGAAAATAGAAAAAAATATATAGCATTTTTAAAAAATTACTGTGGGAGGTAGAAGCTCCAGTTTTTGATGTCTGCCATTTGATAGTACCAATCAGCAGGTAACTGCTCCTCTTCTCAAACACTGCACTGTGGGCCAAACTGGCAATTCCATTTTTGGATTATTTGCTTTGGCAACTAATGAGTTAAACCTTTTAAAGTTTTACTGCTGTTTTATTGCAGGTTTCCATTTGAATGCCTAAATGCAAGAATGTCAGAGACATCTTTTACTTTATGGAATAGTAAGTTCATAATTCAAATTGTGCATTGTTATGCATGAATTAATATGTCATAGTCTGGAATAAAGGCAAATGGAACTATTGTATAGGATTCAGGCATATGTGCCTTGGGTCGGGGGTTTTTTTAAACAAAGTCAATTAGCAGCTTCCACTGATCATTTTGGGTTGTCATGCAAAGGGTTTTCCACTGCACGAGATCTTTTGCCACAGTATTTGGGTTTTTTGTCAAAAAGTGTTTTACAGCAGCTGGACATACAAAACCCATCTAAAGTACTGATGCAAAATCAAGGGAGTCCACTCACTTCCTTCCTCAAAAATCTTTTCTAGTACATCCACCTTCACATACCTTGCTGTCTTTCATTCCGGCCAAGTGTTGGATTGCTCCAGATATTCCCACAGCAATGTAAAGTTCCTAGGAAAAAACAAGATACAGACATTTTTGGTCCTCACACCACAACAGTCTCACTGAGCTTTCACAAACCTTAATCCAAATCAATTACATGCAGCACTTTTTACATTACAGTAGTTTTCAATAATAAAGGCAGCTGCTGCTTGGTTCCCTCCCACACCTGGGGATGCAATGTGACTGCAAAAGGAGAATCCCAAAGGAGCACCTGGCAAAGACAGATTAGGGGGAAAAATAAAGTCTGCATCAAAAACATATGACACTGCTCAGCTAAAGGCCAGGGCAATCCAAGTTATCCACGACCCTGGAGATTCCCAGTGCAAATATTAAGGAAGAAAACCTACAGATGGATAATGCAGTTGCCTGAAGAGCAAACCAAGGCTCTTCTTCAAAGCCTCTCAGAGCCTTTACCAAGGCAGAATGCTGAAATTCAGGTGTCAGGCCTTTGAAAGGCTCCCTACAGAGCAGGATAAACCTCTGAGGTACCCAAGTGGGCTGGTGCCCTGCACACCTGCAGTTTGTGCTCCTCACCCCTCCGTGTCCTCTTGGCTTTCCCCACGCGCTGCCACTCCCACACAGGGTGAGTACAGAAGCTACACCAGCTACACCAACAGCTCTACACCTTGGGGCTTCCAGTTTCACATCTCCAAAGAATCTTAGAGTCAAAAGAGATTAAAATTTATAGGTAAATAGGTCTGTGTCAGCTGTTCTATTCACAGCTGAAAACGATTATCTCTCCTTGGACTGAAAGCCATCCATTCTATAATCTACCCAAAAACAAGGGTATTTCAGGGCCCTGACAGTTTTACCAGTCAGAGATGTACTCTTTAGCTAACTAATACTACAGAAGAAAACTAAAGCAAGTACTTTTCATCCACTCATTCAATAACAGAAAATTAACACAAATTTATTTAGGGACTCATCTATCAAAAGCAGTCAAAAGGTGGTACTTCACACATGCTTAGAAAAGACACAGCCTCAAATACTAACAATTTCTCCTTTAAAAATACCAAGGGTATTCCATATCTAAGAAAATATAAATCTAATTTAACTCAATAAATAATACTGGGGGACCACAGGGAGCGTAAGAGGGTCAAAACCAATCTTACCACTGTGCAGCTGAAACTGCATTACAGTTAAGTGGCTTTTGGCATGGCAGAGCCAAGCCCAGCTGTGGGACATGCACAGACCTACACAGGACAGTGGCAAACAAAGGTGCTCAAACACAGACCCACAGAGGCTTCTGCCATACAGGCCTCAGAGTCACAACATCACTTAAAGGAAAAAATGCTTTCTGATGTTTCTTCAACTACAGTCTCTGCTCACTATGGTTTTTAAAGTAGGAATAGATAAATTAAATTTATGAAGTTTCTCTGTGCTTTTATACAAAAACTCTCTAGTGTAAAAACTGAAGGGGAGGGGAAATAAAGCAGAAATGAAGCATTTCCTATCAAAAAGGCTTCCTTTGAAATTGAAACACGGAATCTAGTCCATGTACTTCCACAAAACTACACAGCTGGTGAACACACTCAGAAACTCCTTGGCCTCAGCAGGCTTTTACCAAGTCGATTATTATTGGAGGTCAATCCATTCTAACCACAGCTGCAATGTAACCTAATATGTCCACATTAGAACTCGTGGTAAGAATGCAATATTTTAATTATACCAAATAAAAGAACAGATGTTACAGGAGAAATTATTCTAACATCATGCTGTTTTTAATACAAGCTCTTTTTAAAGACACATTATCGTAATTTGATTTTTTTAGCGCAATTCATTAAGTGCCAGTCATCCAGACTACCAGATACTCTTATCAGTCTGCTTAACATTGTGAAGTTCAATCTTTGGAAAGAATCCAGCTAACCAGGAGCCAGATGCCTATGAATATATTCTATTAAAATATCTAGGAAAGACAAGGATGTTTCATTAAAAGGACATTTGTTAATCACCAGGCTTGTCTAAAAGCACTTATGCATCTAGGCCATGGCCTTCAAGGTTATGTGCTTTTGGCTGCCTGGTTCAGACAAGTGTTCCTGTCAGTCAGCTCTAACCCTGACAGGAGATCACCTCAGCAATGTTTTCATATAGAGAGCACACAGGACAGCAGGGTTCTTACCAACACTTCTGTGCTGTCAAAGGGACAGGACAATTTAAATCTTCATTTTAATCTATTCTGCAGTTCAGTAGGAGGGACCCAAAGGACCCACCATGTCTAAATGATAAAGCTTCAGGATTGTTCACTGTTGTCCTGAAGATAATTCAACTGATCATCCAGAGACAACATAAAGCATTGAGAAATTCAAATCCTTATTTATTTTCAGGGTAATAACCTTGTTTTGATGTTTTCCCTGAAATCACTAATTTCTATCAGGCCTTTGCCAAGTCCTGTCATTGCTGTCAGAGTTCAAAGTCCCAGGTCAGGACTGTAGCCCCAAGTCCCATGAAGCAGGTGAGGCAGGGAAGCAGAAAGGAGCTGGGTGCCCCAGGGCAGAGTCCCTTCCAGAGGGTGCTGGGCCACGGCAGCACAGAGCAGCTCTGCAAGGAGCCCTGGGTCCTTCAGAGCTGCTCTGGGCAGGACACCCACACAAGGCTCGGAGCAGATGAACCTGAGTCTGGCTCGCACCTCTCAGGGGCCAGATGTGGCTTTACACCAACTTCAAGTTCCAGCTTTTTAGAACCCTGGAAGTTGCTCTAATTGCTGCCAGACAGCTGATCCACAGCCCCCAGTTACAGGCACTTACAGCAAAGTCCAGGACATGGAGTAGCATTTCCCAACTCCCTAGAGCTGGGCACAGGCAGATTTCCACTGAAGGGCTGCTGCCAGCACTGCACCACATGAGAACAGGCAACAAAACAGCACACACATATTCCAGAGCAAAGGGTTCACAGCACTGTGAACAAATGAAGTGCCAAAAGCAACTGAAGTCAAGGAAGTAAATGTTTTGGTGGTATACGGACATAACACCAGCTTAGAAAATTGTCTTGGCTCTTGGTAACTTCATTTCACACAGGAAATACTGCACAAACATCACAGCCATGCCACAAATATTTTTATGAAGTTGCTGGCAGATATCAGCACAGGGAAAGGACACCAGAGAAGAGAGGTGATGGCAAGGAAGAGCAGGATGGAGGGAACACGTGGCACAGGACAGTGAGCAGGAGGGGGCACCATGAGGCAGGACCAGCACTGCAGGGCTGCTGCTGCTGGAAGGGCTCAGTACCCCAATTCTGGGCAGGTGTGGAGGGCCTCAGCAGCTCCTGCCAGGCATCTCACAGGGGCCACAGCAGCAACCCAAGGTGTCTCTGCCAGCAAACTGGCACAGAGACCAAGGGGGATTTCATTTGTCCTGCCACACATCCTGCACAGCTCCAGTGGCAGGCAGAGCCCTGACAGAGACCTCCAAGTTTATAAGCACAGGTTTGCATCACAACCATCCTAAAAAATCCCCACAACTCCAACTCCCAAATTTAGCCTATTCAAAGTCAAGATTCCAAATCAAAAACCCACTCAGTTGCTAGTTAAAGTATTCATCTAGACTTATATTTTTCCAACAGAAATGACCACAGTATGTCTTAGAGTCATTACATACTAATCATTAAAATGGAAAAAAATCCTCCTTGGCCATTCCCTAAACTCTATTTCTGCTTCAGACATACCCAACTTATATATTGGCAGATTTCACATGCACATATCTGCACATCTGGCCCCAGAATCCATACAGCCACATGCCATTTGGATAAATGCACAGGAGTGCTGTATATGGATGACTGCAATTACCAAAATACCAATGCAGTTATTTTCCTGTGCATACAGACTCTTGCAATTATTTATAGAATAATTTGTGGCATGTGATATTACTTCATTTATACATATATTTAAATATGCCTTAGGCTGCCTTGGGGCAGTTAAGGGACATTTGCTTAAGAGAACTACAAGAACAGTTTTATTTCAACTCCAGAGCCTTTGAATGGTGCTGTGACAGGCCACAGGGCAGCCACAGGTGCCCCACCAGCTGAGGTAGCTACTTTGCAAGCATGTTGTCAGCTACTATTGATTTTTACTACAATTTTTGAATTATACTGAAAACCTCCAACACACATCAATTTGTCATCCTACCAATGGCATGCTTTTAAACAGGCCAGTTTAATACACCCCTCTGGCATACACACTCTTTTTAAAGGCAGCTCAGATATTTTATTTTCTTTGCAAGAGTGAAAGGACAATGAAATTAGAAAGAAATCTTTGTGATCAAAATTGCTTTGTACAAGAGATTCCTTCCAATTACAAGCTATTAAGACAATAAAATATCTTCTGGCTTGACAGCAGTTCATGTCTGTACATCACACTGTACATCACACACTTCTCCAGTATGTAAAGCTTTGGTGCAGCTGAACCCACTCCATTCAAGAAGCACCCATCACTAAACTAGAGCCCAACTGCAGCTTCTTTTTCACTTTAAGAACCTTTGATCAGCCAGGCTGTGTAATTACTCTTAAGCGTGGTTAGGGTGTCTGCTGGAGTGAAGGGCCATACAGCAATTTTTTTCCCCTCTCTCCAGGGAAAAGCACATCAATTGCTTTCAGCTAAATGCACTCACATATGAATATTTTAGTACAATTTAATGTTTCTGCACCAACCCCAAAGGAGCAGAGCATCAATTTGTGAACATAGTTTTCTTGGAGTTAAAAGCTACACTGGATAATGCAGGATGAAAGGGGCTGTCAATCCTTAGCTTTTTAGCAAGTCAGAGAAAGACAGTCTGTAAATTCAGTCCCAGCTGTATACAAACAGCTCTCTAAAGTTTGCCACCATAAAGCTACTTTTCAACAATAGTGAATTATCAGAGGAGATATTCCAAAAACAATTTCCCAAGCACAGTTGGTTTTCCCAATGCTATTCCCATCTACCACCTACCTAACAGCCCCAACCATTTATACCATGCAAGGTGCACCTGCTGGTCTGTTAATAACACCCACAAACCTGATGGACAAATAACACATTCCTA